AGGCTGGAAGGTCGTGAGGGGAAGGTGACATCAAGCACGGAAGATTCTTTGTAGACTGGATCCTTGCTGAAGACAGGCCAGGGTGATCAAACATCAGGGGTGGGAAGTAGGGAATGCACTCTAAACTGTCTTGGCAGGGTTCTTGCTGAAGACAGACCAGGCAGGGGCAGGGCCAAGGTGAAGGTCTAGGTGAGAAGATGGCTTAGGGGACCTGACTAGGGTTTGGTTAAGGACACTGTCTTTGTCAAAGGAGGAATGCTAGGTTTCCTTGTCCAAATTCGTTTTTTGTTTTCCTGTGCACCTGTATTAATAGTTTAGCAGACATTCCTGTAAGACTTGGGGTTTTTAAATAGGTTTTCTGTCTATTGTTTGTTTTCTTTTGTCTTGGGCTACAGCTGTAGGTGAACGGCAGCAGCTGACTCAGCCTGCAGAGAAAGCCGGTTTCAGCTGGTTTTGATGTTTTCATCACCCCAGCTAACATGCAGCTTCCAGGAAAAGAGCCAAGATCACCCAGGCATGGGACAGTGCTCGCCCTGTGTGAGGAGCTGGTCACCTTGGCTGCCAGGTTCTCCTAACACTGTCGAATGGGTAATGCTTTGCTCTCCTAAAGGATCAGGACGCTGTACTTGGAGAGCGGAACACCCCATGGTGTATTCCATACCAGTGTGTTCTCAACCTCAGCACCCACATTTATGCCGATACTGTATGGCAATTCCTTACTCCCCTGAAATGAAATACATACGTAATACTGGCATGACCTAACTAGACACACAATTTTAAAAATTAGGTTATTTCTCCCGGAACACTATCAAAGAGAACTAAAAAGAAGCTAGCTCGTAGAAGATTGCTTATAATAAAAAATAACAGAACAATAGAATTATCCAATATTAGCAAATAATAAATAAGTGAGAGTGAACAGCTGCATTGTAAGGTGTAAGGGACAAAGGAGTTGTGCGTTCCTTCTGTTGAAGAATGAGGCTGGACTCAAAGGCAGCAAGGTAGTCTGAAGCTGACTGTGTAAGACACACAGGAGAGGGAAGGATGGGTTTGGGAAGGTATGGGATCAAGGTGAGTCCATTGGTATTAAGAGGAGCAATGAACACTCAGTGTTCAGAGGGTCAGGGTGCAGGAGCACCGAATGGACGGAGCCTTTTATCTGCAGAAGCAGCCAGGACACTTCAGAGCCACGGAGGACGCAGGACAGTGATGTGGGGTGTGGGACTGTCTTGCATGCAGCAGGAGTGACAGTGTCCTGGGCGCTTCTCCAAGTGCCAGCAGCTCCTGGAAGGGAAAACTGGGGCAGAGTTAGAAATTTAGTGGGTGTCTGGACGAGCCGGTGAACCCAGGCGATCTTCGCCTATCACTGTCTTTGACTCTGCTATTTGAAGTTCTGCGTAGGCGAATGTCGGTTTGTAGGGAACTGGTAACAATGCAAACAGTTCCCGTCCACAGGAACGCGCTGGGTGTCTGGTGCAGCCTCAGGTGGCTTCCATTCCCGCTTGTGGAAGAAGCCGGTTCTTATCCACGGGTCACATCCCTGCGGTCATCCCAGGCCTTTCCTTGTGTGTGCTTTTTGGGATTTCCTCTGAATTGGCTCTAAAATCATTCTGGTTCATTCATTAGTTGCGGCGTTAAAGAAAATCGTTGACACACTTTCATTTAGCGTGGTGCAATAGCCGTGACTTTATCTTTAAAAGTTATTCTTCAATAATCCCCAAATTGTTCAGCCAGAAATTCACTCCTCACCTTTTCAAAAGACACACGTTTACAAATGATAAACCTAGAGTCCTAATTTATTTTCTCTTATCTCTACCCTTGGGCCCAATAGTTGACTGAATGCGTTTGTTCTTGTCTTACAGATGCTGTGCTTGGGGCTTTTAAAGTCTGCAATCACAACCTCAGGGCCAAATCTTTGAGGTCACACTTTATTCACAGCCTTTTTCATTTAACCCAAATCCTCAGCCGTTGGCCTCTTGTATGAAGAGGGAGATGACCTGCCCCACCCTTCAACATTTACCCGAAAGGGACTTACATCTAGTGAATCCTAATTTTTTCAGCCACGGTTGTTTCTTTGGTGTCATTTTTTTTTTTTTAACATCAAAAGGGAAAAGGAGAAAAATCCAAAGAGACCACCCCTAAGTCTGAAATCCTTTTAAACCTCACACAAAGCCAAACCCGACAGACCTCCACAGAATAAGCTCACCAACAGGGCAGCGCAGGACTTAGCTGCCAGATCCCGTGGGCTCCTTTGTGAGGCCAGCTCCTTCCACGGGGACAGTGGCGTACGGGGAGGGACTCCGACTTCCAGGTATTTGGGTCTGCTACTCGCAGTGGGAGGGGCAATTCTTTAATCTTGGGGCCTGGCCCTCACTTTCATGGCTCTGGTGCTTTTATGAGAAGAGGACCGAAAGCATCATGAATTGCAGCAAGGCTAGGCCAGGGGCACGGTCATTTCTGTGCTCTGCTGTTTAAAATTAGCATCCTAACAATTTAAGCTTTTTCCAATAGATCCAGGCAGGGAGGATGAGACTGCTTCCTAAAATTTTTATGCTCTAATCAATCCTTATGGTCCATTCTAATCAACTGGAAGGACAGATTTCCAATACAGGAAAGAGCCTCTGCCTAAGAAATTTTTTTTTCCTGAAGAGTTTTGTGATACTAGAATGTTAATCATTGGTGCTAAGTGCTCAAAAACCTTAAAAACCATTCCAAAGTGGAGTTTGGAGCAATGGCGGTGTGTGACACACATGAATGGCGTGTGTGGACGTGTGCCTCCTGGGGGTACCCGGCGGGCCTTTCAGACCTCGTCTGCTCCCCCTTCTGCCCCTCACCCGCCAGCTCTCCCCAGGCCTCTTACTCTTATTCCAAGAGGCCAAGGGGATGCCTGTGTTGGGCTGTTTCTACTCCTGTCCCCGCTGTGGAATGCTCCTTCCCCAGGCAGACGGGAGATGCGTCCTCCCCTCTCCACTGTGCCTGTGGGGCTGCCCTGGACGTTTCTTCTTGTGGGAAACTTCCCTGCCTACCCATGTCAGGGAGCTTCTCCTCATCCCTCATCCCAGCACCCCATCACGCTTCCTGCACCGCCCTCTACGTTCAGCTGATCATTGTTACCAACTCGGAGAGGGAGGATCGGCCTCCTGCTCCAGCCGGCTCTCCTGCCCTGCCCTGCTTGGGTGTGAGCATCCCACCAGGGTTAATCAGGAAGACAACAGAATCCCTGCCTCATGGAGCCAACATCTGTCAGGGTCAGTGGCCACTGAACATATTTGACTACTTGGATGTCTTCCCTCACTTGCTGGTTATTTCGATCATTTGCTCTAAGAACAATTTCTATACCTTGGAGGGCCTCCCATTGGACAGCGCCGAGGGAGGCTCTGGGGGGTCTGTGCTCTACACAGTGGACAGAGACGGCTCTGGATGGGAGCGGGACGGCTCGGGGGAAACCAGAGCGCTTCACAGAAGAAGCCGCAGAAGGAGGAGAATGAATAGGAGGTCGTGGCAAGTGGGATGGAGAGGAAAAGTGGCCCAGGCACAGGCGGCAGTTTAAAGTCTAGGGGCCACAGAGCGGCTCCTAAGGAAGGAGTGTGCAGCTTGGGATGCCCGAAAAGTGACCACAGTCTCTGGGTGATGACGCAGCTTTTCATATCCCAAAGCGATCCAGGGCAACCCCGCCCAGCTCAGTGATGAGGACTCAGCCCCACGTGACCCAGTCCCACTGCAGGCCATCAGTCCAATCCTGGGGACTCTTGAGAGTCAGCCAAGCACATGGCCTGTGGAGGATGCACAGACACACAAAGCACAGCTCTTGGCCTCCAGGAACTCTGGCTCTCTCTGCTTTCTGCTTGATCCGTCCAGATTGACACCCCAGCCCTCATCCCGAGTCCCTGAGCCATCTGATTTCCTGTGCATTCTTAAAATTATGAAAGCACAAGCCCAGGTGCAGTTGTCATCTTTTTTGCTGATCTGCACCGACCCAGCACCGTGAAACAAAGGCCGGGCGGTTTTCTGGTTGACAGGTGACATTTCACTCGAGGACCCGGGACAATGAGGCTTGGAAACAGCGAGAGCAGCCTTGGTGCAGGGCTCCCAGGGTCTCTGTGCTGGGTGTCGGGGAGCCGTGTCACTCATTGTAGCAGCAGGCACCCATTGGGCCCTTGCTGCGTGCCTGGCATGGCTCTGGGAAATTCCCAGGCGTCACCTCACGGTCCTGCAGAAGGCCGTGTCTTTAACCCACTTCACAGACAAGAACTCAAAGCCCAAAATGTGAAGTGTTTTGTTTGTTTGTTTTTGTTGTTTTTTTGTTTTTTTGAGACAGGGTCTCACTATGTAGTTGAGACTGACCTGGAACTCACTATGTAGCCCAGGCTGGTCTTCAACTCACAGCGATCCTCCTGCCTCAGCCTCCCGAGTGCTGGGATTACAGGCGTGCGCCACCACACCCGGCAATGTGAAGTGTTTTGAAATTCATCATGCAGTTTTAAGAGCTGAACCCGGAGGTAAACTGCAGGCTGTTGATCACACAGCCTGTCCTGGTCAGCGCACACTGTTTTTACAAAGCCCAGTACCATCAGAATAAGCAGATCGTCTTGTGCTAGAATGATAAAAGCCAGGATTCCACGCCACCCAGGTCCCTTATTATGTCTGCTCATGCACCAGGCTGCTGTACCTCAGTCCTGGCGGGCGTTCATGGAAAACAGCCACGCAGACAGTTCTTACGCTGTCCTCCGTGGGGGTAACGACCTCTACTAAACGGTGTTAACTTGCTGCTCCTCTGGAGTTGGTGGGCGTGTGCACTAGGGCATGTGTGTCTGTGTGCATGCCGCGCATTTGTGTGCGTGGGTACACAGCAATTCGGGGGTCAGATGGCCTGAGATTAACCCCAGATCAGCCGCTCATCCACCCTTACCCTCAGGCTAGTGGCTCAGCCTCTCAGTGCCAGTCCTCCTGTGTCCCATGTGGCTGGCCGTAGCCTCCACCCGCTTCCCAGGGCTCATGTGAAGATCAGATGACTCAGTCTGTGTGAGGCTCTTGGGAGGGGTCTGGCCCACGGCGGGTGCTGGATAAGCGTCGCTGTCATCGCTGCCCATGTTCTCCAGCGTCTGTCTGCTGCACGAGCAGCGCCGTGGTGAGTGGAGGGGAGGAACATCTTGGCCCATGAAGAACTGGCTCCCTGACCTAGGTCAGGTCCATTAGCTCCCTGTGCCTTAGTTCCCCTCACGCCCGGGAAAATGGGAATAAGAACCCCGCTCACCTGGGGAGGCTGTTGGGAGGGGTGAAGGAGTAATGCACAGCAGCCTGCAGAGCACTCAGCCACCTTCCACATCTCACAGCTCATCTCCCTCATCCTCAGCCACCTAGCAGATTTCTGTCCCCCAGCAACCTAAGTGTGTTCCTCTCTGGAGGTCTGGCAGATCGTTCTGCTTGAAAGTCCTCTCCGCTGCTTCCTTGAGTGACTCTCCTCATGCACACATAGCCTCCCCTGTTGGGCCTCCCTCACCACACTGTGTGGTGCAGCTCTTTGCGCGACACTGGCTGCTCCGGCTGGAGTCCAACCCAGCCTGCTGCCCACTTTTTAAAATAAAGTTTTATTAGAACACCGATGCTCTCCTACCCTGTCTACTGTCTCACTTCAAGGACTCTGTTGAGTGACCGCAACAGTACAGTGTGGCCCACGAAGCCCCAAGCATTTCCTTCCTGGCCTTTCTTGGGAAATGTTTATCAGCCCTGTGAAATTCTGCTACCCTACTCAGCTCCCACGGCCCTGTGCTGGGTCCTCACAGTCAGACACAGATGAGGATCAGAGGAGGAGGAACCTGTGTGGAAAGCAATTCTGGGAAGCCCCACGAAGAGCTGCTGGGCAGGTTGCTGGCCAGGTGTTCTGTGGCTCCTGGCTGTGGCTGACAGGGGCTGTGACTGGGCTGTCGGCCCCCGGCCAGGCCTTGTTCCTAGGGCATGTGGGCTATGCCGACTGCTCCAAAGCCACCAGGGCAAAGCTCGCTTTCCTCGGCATTGCTCCTCCACCACTGTCTCCCCTGCTGGGTGGAGCTGAGTCTCGGCAGCCCCTCGTGGAGGATGGCACTGCGGCATGCTGCTTCGGGGCATCGGGCCTGTGTATCTCCTTGGGTCTCGCTGCCACCACGCTGTGGGTGTCACCAGTCTACCTCTCTTCCAGTCCTTGCTGATAGGACGTGGCAGGCTTGCTCAGGGAGGTAGGAATGATACTTCTGGGCAAGAAAGTCAGACAGCAAGACCTGTGCCTGGGCTGCCTGTCTTGGGTCGTTAACTTTGGGCAGCAGCGTGAGACCTTTAGAGTCAGAAGGGCCCTCACAGAAGGCATGGAGTCTCCAGCTCTTCCATTTCCCAGGCAAGGAACTTTCGGTCTAGAAACTCAATCTGTTTCATAACATAAGGGACCCAGGGACAGTTGTGATCTATTTGGCCTGTAGGACTCAGCCTCTGTCCACAATAATTTTTTCAAGCACAGCCATGTTGATCTCGAGCCTGACTCTGTGCCGAGCAAGAACAAGTAATAATGGGAGCCACTTCAACAACCACTCAAGCATCTCATCATTGCTTTAAGAGGCAAAAGGCTAAGATGATGGAGGCCTGCGGGGATGTGGGAATGGTGCTGTCGCCACGGAGGTAAGAGACAATTGGAGGATGATGTATTGCAGCCTTCGGGTGTGTTCCGAGCTGGTAGTTTAGAGGGGAAATAGCTCTTCCATGGCCACCGCCTAAAGAGGTTAGGGCTGACTTGTCCTGTTTTCTTTTAAGCCATGTAGAAACTCTGAGCTAATTTTCTTCACACTTTATAAATGGCCACCCTTACTGTGGACTCCAGTCACTCAGTTACCCAGACTCCCTTGCGCCTGGGCCAAGGCAGGCAACTCTGGCCATCCTAAAATAGGTGCTATAGACACAAATTTTCATCTGGAATCTTATAAGTATAAGAAAACAGGACCTCATGAAAGCAGTTCTGGGGCTGGTCTCTTAGTGGGAGGAACCACATGGCCTCAAAGGTGCGTTCGACAAAGGATCTGCATTGGGCCTCGTGTTTTGGGCAGTGGGGCGACACTGTCTGAGCCCAGAGATTCCAGAGTTACGGTCATGTGAACAGTTGTGCTGGCTGAGTTCCTGTCTATGTAACCTTAAGTCTGATTCCAGCCCTTCTGGGAAATTGCCTAGCTGCCCACTATGTTTTAGTAAATTCCTTTTTGTGTTTATATTTACAGGAGTCGGTACTGCTGTTCAAACTAATGACCCTGACTCATTCAGGGCAGGTGTGTGGAACAGCCTACGGTCTACCAGAGAGGCAGTGGGGAAAAGAGAGGGTGCCTGAACCGGTTGGGTAAACAAGGACAGGCTGTCCACAGCTGATCACACATACTTCTTTTTATTTAGTCATTCGCCAAGTTTCTTTTAGATCTCTCTCTTTTTTTTTTTTGGTACCGGGGATTGAACTTGGGTCCTTGTGCTCGCAAGGCAGGTGGCGGAACCACTGAGCTAAATCCCCAGCCCAGACAAGGGCTGAGTATACCAGACACTATGCAAGATACTGGGGATTAAGTATTGAGCAAGATACATAAGGTTCCTGTCCTCATGGAGCTTCCATTCCGGGTGGAGAGACAGCAAGAGATAATAAACCAAGGAACAAATGCAACATTTTCAGACCGTGATAAGGACTGCACAGGATGATATAATAGAAAGTGGTGGCCAGGAAGGGCTCTGAGCAGGACAGGCAGTGCATGTGACCGTCCCGGGCAAGAAAGGTCTCTCATGTTGAAGGAACTTGAAGGGACCTCTGATCTCACAGGGCCTTGTGGGTCACAGAAAGGAATTTGAGTTGTATTTAAAGACAATGGGAAATCCCTGGGGAGAGTAAGCAAGGGTGTAACACGAGTCCACCGGTATTTATAGACATAGATCACGAGCCTGGGGGCAGCAGGCAGGCGAGGAGACCTGACATTTTTGGTGTAGTCTGCCAGGAAGCTTATTGGAGACTCAGCGCCCAGGTTTTTATGGGGTGCTGGCTGCATAGACACCTTCTGCTTAGCACCAACCGAAAGTTGATATGCATGGGGGGAAAGCTAGTACTCAGGGCAAGCTGCATTTCCAACTGCGACGGGCCGGCGCTGGGGTCGAGACAGGCATGGCAGGGAAGGGAGAAGTGAGTAGGTTCAGAATCTGTTTTGCAGGTGGGGTTGTTAGAAGTGCTGGGGGTAGGGGGTGGGGGTGGAGAGAAAGGGAGGTGTCAGCCTTTACCACGCAAACATAGATCATCATCGCAAGAAGGGCCCGGCACCATCATTAGGCATGTTAGAGTTTGAGAAATTCTGCCACATACATCTCTCTTACTTAATCACAGCCATTTCACAATGGAAAGGACTGCGCAGGGCGTTTAGCGGAAAGGCGTATTCGGACAGATGAGGAAACGGGGACTGAAGGGAGAGAAGCGATTCTCTTAAGGCTGGGCAGAGTTAGTTGCAGACACAAGATTGAAATCTATGCTGTTTGATCTCCAAGCGAGTAATCTTTCCATATGCTGTTTTGATGGGAGGGCCAGAAGGGTTATAACCAATAGGATATTAGAGCCAGGAGTGGTTCTGTGCTGATTTTTAAGTTACTGTTGCTTCTACACTCTATTCCACAGTGCTGGAGATGTAATTCTACAAAGCATTTTCCTTCTTTATCAGTTGGCTTCTTGCTAGGTTCCACCAACTCAGGATTGTGCCAGCATGAGCCCACCCAGAAGACAGAAACCACACAGTGATTAAAACAGGTGCAATGTTATAGTAAAACTCATTGGGTTGTGATAAAAGAGTAACAACCGGGATGTAAAAGAAAAGTTTATATGTCTGCCTATGGTTCTGTGAGTGGATCCAAGAAAGGACAAGTTTGGGAATGAGGCCCATTCCTGAGACAGGGTTTGGTTCTTGGGGTAGAAGGTTGTTCGCTGATCTGCCTTAAGGTACTGGCCCAGTGGAATGGCATTAATGCCGTCACTGATACTAGAAAGTCACCAGTTCTGTCTCTCTGCCTCCACTGTACAGTTCCGTCCAAGCCCCCGTCATCTCTCAACTGATGACTGCAGCAGACTCACAAGTGGCCTCTTGGTTTCTTTCTGGACCCTGTGTTGGGTCAGGTCCCTGGAAGCAGAGCCTGTGCCAGAGATTCTTGTGCACGTGATTTGTCGAGAATCCTGCTCCGATGAGAAGGGAATGAGAGTGCAGAATAGGGCAGAGGGAAAAAGGGAATGAAAATATACAATAAGGAGAGGAAAGAAGTAGGGCAGAGGGGAGGTGCGAGGCAAGGAAGGAGGGCACTTTGGCACAGGGAGATGCAGCCTGAGTCGGTCCCAGTCTGAAGCAAGGGATTGGCATTGTGGCCCTGCGTCCATCCGGCATTGGCTGCAGGACACAGATGTGCATGGGGCTATGATCTTGTGGGCAAGGCAGGTCCCACTCAGCCTCAGGCAGCCTCTGAAGAGGGGACTCCTGCAGTGGCACAGCTCAATAATGGGACCCAGGCGGGGCACCAGGAATGACCCATCCCTCTCCCAGCGGTGCACTTGTGGATGGGTGGCAGAGGTGAATCTCCTTCTCAGGTTCAGGTTCAAGTTCAAGATGAATAGGTCAGTCTTGTGCGGGGCACTGCAAGGTTCACGGGGCTGCAGCAGCAGCAGCAGCAGCAGCAGCAGCAGCAGCAGCAGCAGCAGCAGCAGCAGCATTTGCCCAGGATGTGACAGAAAAGGCAGGAAAGCACACTGGAGTTAGAGGCCCACAGATTCACTGAAGCACCAGTCCATGAAATCTGACCGGGAGGGACCTGGGCTGAGTGTCTTCTATCTCTGGATTCATTTTTCCATGGGAAAATGCACTGTGAACAGCATAGCCTCACACGACATCAGAGCAGCCTGGAGTCACACTGCTGCCCGCTGTCTGCACTTATTACCTGGGATTCTGCATCCGAGTTCTGCATCTGATCATTTTCTTGTGCCTACAAGTTTAGTCATGCAGAGCAATTACATGCGGGAATACACTTTATTAGAAAGATGTTTCTTTTCCCTTTTATATTATAGTTGAGCTGTTACATTAATGAAAAGTGTGCGTGTGAGTAGGTTATATTACCCATGATTTTTATTTTTATTGAATAAAGGGGAAATTATAAGATATTTGTTTTAAAATCTAGGTATTGGCTCTGATAGAACCAAGAACAAGTCTAAGAAGGATCAGCAATACTGTCCCTTTCTGCAGGGATCCTGCACTCTCACCCACCTGGACACCCACAGGTGCTCCTCATTAGCTTGAGCTGAACTCACAGCACAGGGGTCTTCTCTGCCCTTGTGTCTGGGCTCCCCTCTGCTGGGATCCCGGTACTCTCTAAGGGGAAGCCCTGTAATAATGTAGCCGCACCTTCCCAGGCCATGCAAATGCTCCCCTCCAAGGACAGTGTGGTTGTCTGGCTCGTGTTTGCTGGAGGAGCAGGCTTGGGCTTCTGCCAGATTTACTTGGTGAGCAAGTAATTTGTCCCTCCGTGGGGGACAGAGCAAAATCAAGAAACAAACAAACACATTTTTAAAAAAGACATGAAAGCTTAGTCATGCAAATCAAGGCAGAGAAGAGGGGGAAAAGAAAAGGCCTCATTTATATTCGTCAGCAGAGCCAGGGGGCCCTGGCCCCTCAGCCCACTCCTATGAAAACACTGGCCCAGGCGGCCACTGGCACATTCAGAAGGGTTTGCCCCACGGGAGTAAACACCAGCCGTTCCCAGGACACGAGGAGCAGGAAACTAGCTGGAGGTTAACTGGGTCATTAGCGGCGGTATAATGTGTGTCATTCTGATGCGATTTAGTCCCTTCTGCTGGAGGCTGAAGTATAGCTGGGGTTCTCACAGCGGGGGGCGGTGACTTTGCAGCCTGCTCAGGTCTCTTGGATACCAGGGGAGCTGTCACAGTGATGCATGGCGCCTCTGACATCACGAGGGCATTTTTGTGATGCAAAGTCACACGTCTGCAAGCACACAGGAGACCAGGGGATGAGTGCATGGCTGTTAGTGTGTGCGCCCTCAGAATGGGCACTCAGAGGCTTAGGGTTTGCATCAGGTACTGGGATCGGACTTCCTCTGGGATGGTGAGACACATGGACACAGGAAGCGCTGCCGCGAAGGGAGAAGTTTATTGTATACCAGATCCACCAGCCACACAGCGGGCAGCGGGTTGGGAGGAAGTGGACGGAGGGAGGGCACATGTGGGCAGGAGACCTGACCGTGTGTCAGAGGCCATTCTACATAATTTTGGGGGAAAATCATCTCATAATTAAAGTATGACTATAGCTGTCTAAGGCCAAATGTCACCTTGCCCTTGAGAGCCAGCTACAACATTTGGAAATATAATTCCATTTTTCTAAGGATAGTAGTAAAAAAAAAAAAAGAGAGAGAAAGGTTAAACCTGGAAGGACAAATTCTAGCCTATCTTGCCCCACCTACTACTGTACGAATGCTCTCCTTACTACTCTCATCAACATGTGATCCTCATAGGAAAAAAAAAAAAAAAGCTACAAAGGGGCCGGAGATTTAGCTCAGTGATACTGAGCCTGCCTCGTAAGTGCAAGGTCCTGATTTTGATCCCCAGTATGGCAAAAAAAGAAAGAAAAGAAAAAAGAGATCCTTGACAGGATTTCCGCAGCCCCTCAGTCACCCAAGGCTCCCTCCCATCATGGTGTCCCCCCAGTAAATAGTGGCCAGGTCAGAGCGTCCTGGGCTTTGCCCACTCTGAGGCCCTGACCTCCCGGCCCCACCATGTACTATGAAATTATGCAAGTCTCGACTGTCTTTCTTTCTTTAGCCCCTCTCTAGGCAGGCAGAGGATTGATCGTCCTCCTTTGACTGTGGTGTGCAGGAAGGAACTGGCGTGAAGGCGTGGCTGGCTAGCCTGAAGGACTTCAGCAGGCCCTGGGGTGTAGGGCCGTCTCTAGTTGTCTCTGGTCCTGGGGAACAAGGGAAGGTGGACAGTGAGCTGCAGTGCGAGAGCCCAAGAACAGGGAGTGGCTGGTGGGTGGGCTTGGGCTGGGTTGGTTTGCAATCCAGTTAACTCCTGTGTCTAGGAATTGGCCAGCCTGGGGAGGGGCAGGCCTTCTACATCAGCAAGGCCTCAAGGTGCAAAGCATTAGAAGGCAGACAACAAAAGACCTAGCTAATGCAACACACGGCCAGCCACAGATCTCCCATGTGAGCAGCTGAGTTACAAATGCCTTCCATTCCCGTAAGCAGTGGTCCTATCACTTTCCCCCAAGCGTGCCTTTCTGTACAATGGTGTTCTTTAACTGCAAGAACACTTGAGAAACTGCAGGGATGAAGTTGAACAACCCCAAGTGATACAATTATGCGTTGTACATATGTTTTGCCTTTACATGTTATTTGGGAAGCACAACAACCAGGGAAAAGGAGGCTTGGGCAGACAGCCAGCTTCACATGGGCAGAACCAGCAGGATAGTAAAAGGGGAGGGAAACCTCTTCGTTGCTTCCTCTTAGAGGGAACCTATCAGGGCTACTTTTTTTTTTTTTTTTTCACTGAGTTTATTGGTACATTTTAGGTATACAGTACAATCACATTCATCATTGGGATCTTGTACCTTCACCTGACAGGTCTTGGTTCTCATTTATTCCCCATGCCCCTGCCCTCCCTTCACCCCCTGCTCCCTTCCCTATTTACAAATACTTTATTTCCATTTTCTCATATTTTTTTCTTTTCCCTCATTTCCTTTCCCCTACCCTTCCCACTTCCAGGGCTGCTCTTGAGGTTAGGAGATTTATTTGCAGGCATCTGCCTGTGACAGTCACACTTCCCGATCCTCATCTGGGATGCCCAGCCATTTGGAGGAGGCCTGATGATGAAGGGGCCCAGCCCCGGGTTCCAGCTGGGTCCTCAGGGACTCACTGCCCTGGAAAGATGCTTGAGGACTTGGTGATGCTTCCAGATGTGGAGACTCTGGGGGTGAGTGGTGGGCAGGTGTGAGATATCTTAATATCGTGTTCACCTCCAGAAGCCTCGATGTCTCAGCAACTGTAAAATGTGTCCAAAGGTTCTTTTTGCAAATGGTGTCATTTCTCTGACCCAGCAGGGAAGAAGGGTGTGTCCAATAACAGGTTCACCACGCGTGCAAGGTGCCATGCAGAGAATGTTCTAGATGATGTTCTCTGTGGGAATGGAGCCAGCTGGAACTCAGTGGAAAAGGCTCACCTCTCCACAGGGAAGGTTTTGCTTAGTGACCCTTGACTTTGGCAGGGCCCCGGGCTCCTACAGGAGCAACTTCCATAAACCAGCACAGGCGATGACAGCTGCAAAAGACCCGTTGGGCTCAAGCAGAATGGAGCTTGCAAGTGCTTACTGGCTTCCTCTTCCTCCTGCTTTTGTTCCACCCAGGCTGAGACCCTAGTGGACGCACCACCTGCCTTAGGAATAGGTCTTCCCCACTCAGCTCGCTGGCCCACATGAGGACTGTCCTGGGAAACGCCCCACAGACACACCCAGAAGTGTGCTGCACTGATCTCTCAGTCCAATCACGTTGACAGTGGATACTGACTACCACACAACAGTATCTTCACTGATACAGATAGAAGCCCCTCATGCCAACTGTTTCATTTTCATATACAGTTACTGTATTCTAAGTTGCTGTTATTTCCCTAGTCTCGCCTAATTCATCTTAGGGATCAGGAAGAAAGGGCCAGATGGCTTACTCTAACACACCAGGGAAGGACGGCTTAAGTGAGGCTGTCTGTGAACACCCTTAGATTCTGCTAGGGGCAGTATGGAAGGCAGTGCCGTGGCTGGATCTCGATGTCCTCCTACAGCCTTATGTGTCGTAGGCTGGACCTTTGGAAGCTGACTGGATTAGAAGGGTATGACAGCTGACTTCCAGAAGGGAGGTAGGGCCGTTCAGAAGAGGCAGATCACCGTGGGCCTGACCTGAGAAGTCAGTCACCCTTTGTGGCTCCTTCCTGAATCTCTCAGCTTCCCAGTACTCACCAGGCTGTGAGCAGAGTTTCCTCTGCCAGGCCCTCTGCTGCACGACCCTGCCTTGGAGCCAGCTGACTATGGACTGAAATGCCTACTGTGAACCAAAATAAACCTTTCCTCCTGTAAACTTGCTGATGTTGGGTATTGTGTCCCAGGGAGAAAAGTGACTAAGACGGGTGGGGAGGATACACTTCAGGGTTTTAGGTGTGGTCTTTTTGTATCTCTCTTCCCATCAGGACCTGGGGCTTTTCTCCTCTCCCTGATCCCAGGAAAACTCCCCTGTCTGTCCCACCCGTTAGTTCTCCCGTTCCATCCCCTGTGCCACCCACAGACCCTGCTCCCGGGGAAGGACCAGCCCACAGTCCATGGCAGGGCGGCATCTCTCGCTTCTTCCCCAGCCTTATCTGTGGCTGTCAATCCTGGGGAGGAACATGGGGAAGGATTCTCATTCTGATCTGCAGCTCTCCTGCTCCACTTCCAGGGTTCAGGCCAGCAGACTGGTCACTAAGGGTCCAGACCCCTCTTTCCTGGCCAGGACCCCAGGGACCATGACCCAAGAGGCAGGGGTGCATTCATAAGGAGTGGTGCATGCTTGGATGAGCACGGGATTCACAGGGGATGCAACAGACGGAGCTACTGAAAACATCCACCTCCCTGCCAGGTAGGCTGTGGTGAGAGGAGAGTGGCCCGAAGCGTGTGCTGCAGAGGAAGCTCAGGGCTTTGCTGCTCTTAGCTTGGCTCCTGGCTGATGGGTATCCACGTGGACAGCTGCCCAGGGACACCCAGGACCCTGCAGCAGGCAGGACTGCTCTTGCTTTCTAGGAACAGGATGGGGTCACCTGTGACCATGGGAGGCTGGGATCTATGCTTGCCAGAGAGTGCAGTTCTCAAAGCCTCAATGTTGACAGAATATAGCAGAAGGGGACAACAGGACTTCTCTGCAGATGTTAGGATGGCCGAGTGGCTGGAAGGAGAATTTGAAGTCCTCTACCCTGATCCTTCCACAGTAAAGTGACCTAGAAGCTGGTTGAACCCTTCAAAGAAAGATAATCTTTCCACTTGTTTTGCCACCATACTGGACTTCCTGTGAAATATTTCACAGAGTAGCTACTTAGTAAATGCTTGGGAAGGACAGAGAGGTTTTCCTATCATCTCATCCCCTCTCAGACACCCACTATTTATGGTGCTTGCTGGGGTACAGAGTGGGGAGCCCTGGGAGTAGAGTGACCCACATGAACTCTCAGAGCATGGTGTGCACACAGATCCTTCCCCATGCTGGCAAAATCTGTTTCCCCTCTGGTCGCTGGATGACGATCTTCTATCCAGCCCCCCTCCAACAGGTGCCACCCTGGAGTGGCCACGCCTGCTCCTGCCAGGCCCCTGTGAGGTTCTGCTCCTCCCCAAACCTTCCTGCTCAGCTGTCCCTTTGCACTCAGACCCATCCGCTATTTTTAGAGCTTTGAGGGTCTTTTGTGGGGAAGCTCATCCCATGGGGAGAAACTTCATATCTTTTTGTGTTCTTGGGACATCTCTGACTCAAGACTGGGATGGCCTCAGCTGATTTAGGCAAATTGAGACCTGGTCTAATCCTCATGGGCAACTGGACCTACCCTGATCAAAAGGTGAATGAGATGCCCACTCTCTCAGGAGATTGTGAGTCCCCAGGACAAGGCAGGCTACAGCAGGGGGTCAGCCCAGGCCAAGTGCAGGCCAACAAGGATAAGATCAGAGACCATGGTGAAGAATGACATTGAGAATGGAGGCCTGTACTGTCTGCCACAGTAGCCCCGGATTAAAACTAAGTAATGTAGAAAGCGCCAGTGCTTCAAACACACAAGCTACCTGTCTTTCTATTGCTCAGTAGTCCCCTGTGACTCATGGCTGCCACGCTGGACAGCATAAACATAGACCATTTCCCCATGGACAACACTGGCCAGAAAGAGTTTGAGTCCAGCAAGACACCAGGCTGGAGAGAGGCACTGGGCAAGGAGGAAAGGAGCAATGATGCACAGAGTTCCAACCAAAATGTCCTCACTCCTCCACCCAGTCCTCCCTGGTCATCTGTTCTTTTCCAATTAACTGAACCCCTTTTTGGCTCTCTCTGCACTGATTAGGAACCCAGGGAGTGCGTGCTCTGAGTTGCCAGGCAGGGAATAAAGGAGGTGGAGAAAACCAGAACAAAGATCATATCAGAAAACAGCAAAGTCCAAAATTAAAATCTAGCAAAGGCCCAAATTGAGCAAAGCAGTGAGGTAGAACACAGTATCAGCAAGGTGAGGGTTAGGCCTGGAGTTTGGGGACACATGTCATCTTTGGGCAGCCAAAGATTGCAGAGCTCAGAATAACTACAGGTGGTCAAGAGGAGAGGAAGGCGACCCTCCCAGATCACTTGCTGGAGGGCTGGGAAGCCATGTACAAGTGAGTCACTGAATTCAGGGACTAGAAAACAGAACCAACCCCAGGGCCAGAAATAGACAGAGGCCTCCAGGAAGCAGAGAAAAAAGCAAATGCAGAAATTGAGGGGGGGCCAACAGTGGAGTCTATTTTGTGGCCAACACACAGAGCAGCTGTTAGGAACCCCACCCTGCCGATTCCCTGTGACGCTGGTCCGACATTGGTGATGGGGGAGGGTGGTCCTGCAATTGCTGTTTTGAAGCATTGGGTGCCTCTACTGTTAGGGCCTCCACAGAAGAACTTGCTCCTGGGGCTCTGGACCTTGTACCGCTGTGGGGAGGTGGCTGGCCTTTGTTTAGCAGACAGATGCTGAGACTGCTGCTCCTTGGAGATTTCCTCCCTTCTCTGTCCCCAGAAACTAAGCCCACAGGAGGCCGGAGCCTTTGGCCAGGTGGAGCGGCATCAGCAGAGGTGAGAGAGGCCCCAGGAGGGACAGAGCTCCAGCCCCACCAAGGTAGTTGGATCTAGGATGTGGAAAACCAGCCTTGGAACAGCTGCAGCAACAACACTTTGACTTCCTGGCCAGGAACTTGGTGGCTACTCTGTTAGAAACAGAGATGGTGATCGTTTACCCTGAAAATTAGGAATTTTCATTTCTGCACATGCAGGGCATAACTGCATCATTTAGGAGTCAAAACAGACCAATATGTGCTCTCTGGACCCAGCCATGGCTTCCTGACCATGCACCAAATTCTGCTAAAGGGACAGTGCCATGTGTCTCTGAGCGTAGTCCAGCCAGGCTGATCAGGATGGAAAACTCCCGAGAGAACAATGCCCTCTGAGCTTCTGGAAGGGTGGAGGTTTCAAGGGGCCACTGAAGTTTCAGCCCCAAATGACTGGCAGATTCCTCCAGTGACAAATGACAAGTGGTTCAGTGGGGGGAGGTGTTGGCTGGCTGGGTGTGCAGGCAGAGCTGTGTCTGAGCACTTGGAAGTCTGACCTGGATGCCACTGGCCTTGCTGTGTCCATCTCACCATGCCTGTGGCTCCTCCGCAGGCTCCATTTACGGCCCACGAGCTACACACACCCAACTATGAGGCTGTAGCCCACACTCTCAGGTTCAAACCCAGGGACCAAAATTGGTCCCAGAGAATCCCCAAGAACCAGTCACTCTGATGGGCCAGTGGGGTCTCTCCCTCATGGAGCCCGCTGCTGTGTAGGCCCAGGGGTGCTGGCTCGGGTGCTGATTTCCAGGCTCTGCTCACTGCATACCCACAGATGGAGGGCAAGATGGGTTTCCAAAGGAAATTCCCAAAGGGCACTTGGTTTCTGAGGCAGAAGAAAAGGGCTGGATGTTTCCCGAGTGTTTCCAAATTTTTGTTTCTCCAACCTTGGACAACTGTGGCTGCACCAAATGCTTTATGGCTGCTCAGAAACTTTTGCTTTGCCTGTGGCAGTCCCAGTCACAGGTCCATCCTAGTCACTTCAGCTCTCTGTCTCTCTGGATGACTCTGCCTCTGTGCAATCACTTCCAATATCCCCACTCTGGCCACGAGGTGCCCCTCTTCTCCCCACAACTAAGCAGAAAGCCTGTAGCTGGCTAGCGGGACAGTGTGCACATATATTACCTGGCTTTTGCCTATGGGTCAGTCTGCACACTGCTGCCTCCTGACACTGCAGGATGAGCCCTAGTAAAGGACTTTTGGATGGTTTTATTTTGCCTGTACATGATTTCTACTGAGAGTACAGCAGATTGAGCTGGTTACACTAAGAGCTGGTAATACCAGAGGTTACTTGCACTGTGCCTTGACTACTTTTTCTTGTTTCTGGGACCAAATACTCAACACCCACAAGTTAAAGGGGAAAAGGTTTATTTTAGCTCACATTAGAGGTTTCAGCCCATGGTTGGCTGGCTTCAAGGTAGAGTGGCATGGCAGAGGGGCATCGCAGAGGAGAAACAGTCCATGGGGTAGCAGGCAGGAAGTAGTAAGCTTTCCTTCATCTCTTTTTATTTCATCCAGGCTGTAAGCCTATTGGTTGGTGCCACCCACACTGGGGGTCTTCCCTCTTCAGTAAATCCACCATCCACAACCAGAACTATGCTAAGTCAATTTCTAGACAAATCACACCCATGATCTAGTATCATACCCACAATCCAGTCACTCTCCAAAGCTCCACCTATGAGAGCATGAGGTTTTTTGGAGGAGGCCTCTAGATATAAGCCATAGCACTCTGACTGCTGAGTTTCAGAGAGCTGTCAGTAGCTGTTGTCTTTAGTTATCAGGGAGCAAGAGGTCCACTAAAAGCTGAGAGTCACTGGCCATCGAAGCTTAGAATTATGATTTCTATCTGAATTGAGCCAAAGAGCCCTCAACTGATAGTTCTGTTTTATCTAAGGGGAAATGCATACTAGAGAAGGCAACAGACAGCTCCCCACCAACAAGGGTGCTGGTAGGATGACCCAGTTGTATAATTTAAGAACCCTGAGGAGCTAACGATTGGTATAGAAGTTTTATAAATTCTGGGTTTAGTTATGAAGGCTTCAGCCAATCTGGAATTTACACGTGGGCAGGGGGCTGCTGGTTTCAGTGGCAGTTTCCCTCTATCTACAACTTAGAACCAATGACTCTCACGATCTCAGTTGCTGTGGAAAACAGCTCATAAGGGAGTGGTGAGTACCTG